CTTGTCTTTGTCTGTGGTTTTGGTCAATCTCGCCATAATGTGTCTTGGAGAAGATCTTCTTGGGTTGATTCTATTTGGGATCTTTTGCATTTCTTGGGACTGGATCTTTGAATGCCTCTCTAGGTTTAGAAAGTTTTCTTGCAGGATTTCATGGAATAGATGATCAATGCCCTTATGAGTCTCTTCGCCTTCTGGGATATCAATTATCTGGATGTTTGGACATTTCGTGGTATCTAGTATTTTCCATATATTATTCTAATTTTTTTGGACATTTTTCTCAGTCTTCATGGTGGATTTTTCTAGGCCATTGATTCTATCTTTTACATCTGAGATTCGGTTTTCTATATCATCTACTCTGCTTTTAATACTTTCAAGGGAGGTTTTCACTTCCTGTATTATAGCCTTCATCTCTAACAGGTCCATTTGATTCTTTTTTTATGGGGTATATTTCCTTTTTCAGATCTTGCAAGAATTTCCTCACCTCCTGGAACTCATCAGCTCCTTTCTCCTACCTCTTCTGCAGTTCATTTTCTCTCTTGTCTTTCATCTCTGTTAGCTTTGTCTGAATATTCTAAAGTCTTTGTCTGACATTTTCATGAGTATAATTGTACTATCTGAGGATGAACAGGAGTTATTCTTTTCCCTTGGAGGATACATATTTTCTTGCTTTCCCATATTTCTTGTGACTCTGACATAATTTCTGGTCATCTGATGGATGGTGCATTTCTTCCTAATTTTGAAGTTCAATTTGAGCATTCAGAGGCATGCAGGAAGAGGTGATCTGCAATTTCTCTTCCATTCTGTTTTTCACTCTTTGTGCATCAGATTCAGTGGGAATTGAGAAATATTCTGACGCTAATTGTATTCAGATGTTTGGGTTCTGTTCACTTGGGCCTGTCTAGACACTCAGTGCATAGAGGCTGAGCAGTCAAGGAATAAGACAAAGAAAAGAGAGAAAGAATTAGAGAAGAGGAAGGAAGAAAAAAAAAATAAAAAAGATAATAAAACTGAAGATTTTCATTTTAAAACGCCAAAAATGAAAACTGTACAGCATGCGTGTGCGCCATGTGAAAGCAGTATTTCACAGCTCAAGTTCAGTATAGCCACAGGCCTGGGTTTGTGCTTTTCCTAAATGGACGGGGGAAAGGCACAGATTAGCACAGGAAAGGAGGGGCTTGTGAGCCCAAAGAATACTTTACCTTTAAAAAAATTAAAATTTTGGGACCAGCAAGTTAGCATAATGGCTATGTCACCTGACTCCCACGTAGTCGACCATGGTTCAAGTCCCGGAACCAGTGGCTTGAACTCATGCCAGGCGCGTGTGTATGCCTGCCCAAGATCCCGAGAGGAGAATGGAGGAGAAGGAATTGTGGCATGGCCATCCCCCCTGGGGGGTGATTTCTTGCTTTCTGTCTCTCTGTCTCTCTCTGTCTGGCGAGTGCACGCGCCCTATAGTGAAAATCTCTAAAAAAAAAAAAAAAAAAAAAAAAAAGAAAGAAAAAGGAAAAAACAATCCACTAGAGAAATGAGAACTTAAATTGACATATTGCTTACAAATGTACATAGTAGCTTTCTTCATAATTAACAAATACTTTCTTCATAATTAACGAATACTAGGAAGATCCTGTCCTTTAGCTGATGAATATATAAGCAAACTGGTTCGTTTATGAGATGTTACTGAACAAAAAGGAATTCTTGTTCTGATATACATGTAACATCGATAAATCTTAACCTGTAATAAAATTACTAAGTGAAAAAAATAGATTCAAAAGACTCATACTGTATGATTCCATTTATACAAGGGAATTTCAGAATATGTGGAAAAGTAGAATTGAGTTATGAGTTTGTTTTGGTACAGAAAACTTTTGAAATTCCTATACAGTATTTTCATAATATGCATTTTCCATGAAGTGTTTGAAGATGCCCTATAGGACATCTAGAAGAGGCAAAGCTACAAGAACAGAAAAGAAAAGCAGATCATTGGATGTTTTTTGGATAATTTTTAGACGAATTAAATAGTTTTAGAGTATTCCCTAGCCCTTCACAACTCAGGATCCTTGGTGCTGCAGATGCATTCAGCATGTTTTTTTCAGGCCGACTCAGGGTCAGAACTGCAATTACCATGTGGCTTCCATCACTATTGCCATGGCAGTAGGGCCATAAGTCTCCTTTTTTAAACCACATTGTGAAATTATAAAAGGAAGCAATGTATTTCATAACCTAAAAGACCTTTAGTTATTTTATAACCTGTAGTCCTATTTTTTTTTTTTTTTTATTGGAGAGGTTTTTGCTGTAGGGTGTGTGCGCTCGCCAGACAGACAGACAGAAAGCAAGAAATCACCCACCAGAGGAGATGGCCACACTGCAATCCCTTCTCCTCCATTCTCCTCTCGGGATCTTGGGCACGGCGTGAGTTTAAGCCACCGGGTCCAGGACTCAAACCGCGGTCGACTACGTGGGAGTCCAGCGACATAGCCATTACGCTAACTGCTGATCCCCTTATAGTCCTATTTTCTATTACCTAACCTTCTGCTAAATGAAACTGCCTCTTTAGCACAGTTGGTGAGTGACTTACTGAAAATATGGAGGGGAAATCTGTGGAGGCAGAAGTTAGGGAGCTCTTCCCTTAGAGGAAGCTGTGAGAGAAAAAGACTGGAGAAAGTAAATACAACTTCAGGGGAGAGAAGAGATAAAAGTTTATATTAAATTTAATTCTCAACAAATGAAGTAAGGTATTTAGGATTAGAGGGAAAAAGCTGTAAGGAAACATGGAAACTGGAGAATGACAATGCTGAGGATATTGGTAGGTAAATCCTGTTAGGTGTCTTAGCCTAACTTTCCAAATTAATGTTGCATATGTAGTTTGAAGAATTTGTTGGAACATGTAAAAATAGTACCTTGCAAGAAGTTATTTGTTTTTAACTTTCTACTTACCTGTTTAACCATGAATGTTAATCAAGTACAGACTGTCTATTTTCAGTTGTGTAGTTAAGATCATTTTTTCATGGGAAAGAAACCAACTTAGCTCTTACTTTTTATATCTTGCATTTTCAGAGTGTTCAATACTTGATCAAATGTTTAATAATGAAAGCAAAAAAAAATTGTTATAGTAAATACAGATTTTGACCCTTTTCACTTCAGTAGTTTTTTATCTAGCAGCATGTTAACCCTTCTACTAACATCTCTGAGCAGTAATCGTTTTTCCTTCTACTGCTCCAACTTTAGACCAGTGAGAAAGAAAGCTTCCTCTCTTTCCTCCTCCATCTCCATCACTGAGACATTTTATCTGTGTTTATATATTACATCCCCAGGAAAAGAATCTCAGGATTTTCCTGTTGTATGCTTTGTTTTTTCCTAAGCTCTGTGCTCATGGGTGATTTCACATTAGGCAATGTAGCCATGCCTGATCATCACAGTTAGATACCAGACAGTGACTTAGGAGCATTATCTAGTAAGAACCTGGCACTTGCTCTTTCGGTATTGCTGATTCTCAGGAGAGTATCAGCAGGACAGTCACACACACCATTATGGCAGTACATAAAGATGCTGGAAAAAGCTATTTATTCTTAAGTTGGAGTGGTAGGAATAACTCTGTTTTTATATTTCCAGAACTAAGATTTAATTTTTTTCTAGGAAAAAAAAGTAAATGTAAACATAGTATAAAATATACTTAAGGGCCAACAGTTGGCATGGTGGCTGGGGGCACTGGACTCCCACATGGTCAACTGCGGTTCAAGTCCCAGACCTGGCAGCTTAGTTTCTTACTTTCCTTCTCTCTCTCTCTCTCTTCTCCATCTCTAGTCAGATTAAAATAAGTAAATAGGTAAATAAAGTTAAATAAAATAGTTCTTAAAGGAAAAGGGAAAAAATACTTAAAAAGCCTATTACCTCTCTTGGGAACCAGCAGTTAGTGTAATGGCTATGTTGCTGGACTCCCACGTAGTCGACCGCGGTTCGCGTCCCGGACCCAGTGGCTTAAAACTCACACCGGGCGCGTGTGCGTGTGTGCCCAAGATCCTGAGAGGAGAATGGAGGACAAGGGATTGCGGCGTGACCATCCCCCCTGGGGGGTGATTTCTCGCTTTCTGTCTCTATGTCTCTGTCTGTCTGGTGAGTGCACGTACCCTATAGCGAAAACCTCTCCAAAAAAAAGAAAAAAAAAAAAGCCTATTACCTCTCTTCTTATTTAGGCTGTTTTCCTTTGAAAAAATGGACAGAAGTCAGAGCTCTTAGTAATTGCTTACAGAAGAGCAGTGACTATATTCTTCTGTGTTTTTCTAGATTTATTTTATAATTTTGTTTAAGTTATACAGTAAAATTGACTTCATTGTGTATGCATGCAGTTCTTTGAATTTTAATATATGCTTAGATTTGTGTAACACAGTCACCATCAGATGCGGAACAATTCTGTCACCCCAGCAGACCCTGCGCATAATGTCCCTTTGGACAGTTCTCTACTATCTCATCCCATGGCAATGACTGATTCTTCTACATCTCTATTGTTTTGTCTTTTTTAGAATATCACATAATATGCAACCTTTTAGACTGTCTTCTCTAACCATCCTGCCTTTGACATTCATCCAAGTTTTTGCATGTGTTATGCTTAATAAATAAAAACTAATTTTATGTAATTAATTCGTTATTAATTGTGTGTCTTGTTCCAGCCACAGTAGTATACTGGTTGCTGTTGCTCAGTAGACTGAGACCACACAGGACACCCAGTTAGAGTCCTGGTACACTCTCAAAAAGCCATGTTTGGTGGTATGCACCTGTAGTCCCAGCTACTTGAGAGGCTGAGGGGGGAGGCTCGTGATCTTACATTCATCATGGGCAGCATAGTGAGACCCTGTCTAAGAAATAACACCCTGTCCACATATGCATGTACATACATACACAGCAAAGGGAGAAAAAAGTATTCTTGTTATTATTAATTTTGTTTTTGTTTATTCAAATTTGTGTTTTTAATCCTGTGGTTTAAAAACTCCTATTATTCATTGCAGGTGATTTTGCAGTTCTTCTTAAAGCAGGCATGACTGTAAAGCAAGCTATCGTTTACAACCTCCTCTCTGCCATGATGGCTTACATAGGCATGCTCATCGGCACGGCTGTTGGACAGTACGCCAATAACATCACTCTTTGGATCTTTGCAATCACTGCAGGCATGTTCCTCTATGTAGCCTTGGTGGATATGGTAAGAGAGTTTCCTTTTTTGTGTGCTATAAATCTACGAATATTGGGTCATTGGAAAAGTGATGGTGTATTTTCCGTTTGTCTATTTATATACAAAAAGACGTTAGTGACTTTTCTGATGACTCAATATAATGCATTCCAAAAATGGGAAGAAATCTTTGAACACCATTTGAAGTCAAACTATTTTTTCAAAATAAAACTCACTTGAAAGACATTGTTTTCCCAAATAATCTATTAGAAAATTAAATAGGAGGATTTCTTTTTTGAAAACCATTTGAAATGTTGAAAATTCTGACACAATGATGTTATTATTTTAATAATCATTGGTAGTATGTAGAGATATAATTACAGAATTATTATACTGTCTTGCAGATTTTATAATATTGAGATAGAAGTGTTTTATTGCTGTTAAGAATAAATTTATTAATTTTTTTGAGAGAGATTTTTTGCTAGAGGGCATGTATGCTTGCTAGAGAGACAGAGAAAGGGAGACAGAAAGTGAAAAATCAGCCCCCACTAGGAATGGCCATGCCACAGTCCCTTCTCCTCCATTCTCCTTTTGGGATCTTTAGCATATATGCAGATGTGCCTGGCATGAGTTTTAAGCCAGCAGGTCTGGGATTCAAACTGCGGTCGACTACATGGGTGTCAAGTGACATAAACATTACGCCATCTACTGGTCCCACAAAATAGTTTTTTGAGCTGAAGGCAGATGAGGAAAGACATACTACACCTGTTAGATGTATTCTTTTCTAGGAAATAAAGTATATTCCCAAGGACTTATGTAATTTATTTTATTTATGACTTTAGCTTAGAGTTAATAAATTTAAGCACTTGCACTCACCAGAGATAGAGAGCAAGAATACAAACCACTAGGTCTGGGACTTGAACCACAGTTGACCTTGTGGGAGCCTAGCACCTCAACCACCATGTTACCTGCTGGCCTCCTTTAAGCAGTTTTATTTTAAATTAGAAGACCTAAATATGAAAGACAGTGTACTTATAGAACTAGCAATGTCATTAATTTTATTTATCTTTATGAGACAGAGACAGATACTCTCAACAGGGCTTCATTATGCTATAATTTTCCCTACCTCACACACAGTCTTCCAGGCGGTGAAAATCACAGGCCTGCCCATAGATATATCCAGTGTGTTCATGCTGAGCCAGAATTGGGATGCCAGCCTTTCTCATATGGTTCCCATACTGTGCAGTCGTACCTTACCACCGGTACCACCATGACTGGGTTGGCTTAAATATTTTATTACAGAAATAATGCCTGTTTAGGGCCACCTGGTGGTGTGGTAGTTAGGTGTCTGGATCCTATATGGCTACCTGTTCAAGACCCAGTGGCTTGAAAAATATACCTGTCACATGTACATGCATGCCCAAAATTCTGAAAGGAGAATGGAGGAGAAAAGATTGCAACCTGGCCATCCCCCTTGGGGAGTGCTTTCTCACTCTTTCTCTGTCCAGTGAACTCACATGCCCTATAGCAAATACTTTTTAAAAAGAGGTAGCCATTGCCCTTCACCACCCTCTCAAGACTACTAACTTAATTTTCTGTCCTCATCTTCAGCTGCCAATCTTGCTTTCTATTTCATGTGGGCCACCAAAGCCAACAAGACACTATCCATGAGTTCCTGTCTCCCCTTCTCACATTGCTGTATCTGTGCCCGTTTACATTCTCTCATGCTGAAAAAGTGTCCAGCACCTTTAAACTGTTCTCTAGAGCTTATCCACGCTTGCTAGTTTCCTTACATTCGTCCCTTCTTTCCTGCATCGTTTTTGCCTCTCTCATGTAATTCCTATCAATGTATAAGCCGCACATAACTTTTCCCTTATTAAAAAGTCTTGGAGAAGGTCTCTATTAACTCCATTTTCCCCTTCAGTTATCACTCTATTGCTCTCTTTCCTTCTTATAACAAGTCATTGTTTGTTAATATATTTATTTATTTAATTTTTTAATCTAGCCTCATCAGGTTTTCTCTGTGACTGCTTACCGCTTTTTTTTTTTTTTTTTTTTTTTTTTTTTTTTTTTTGAAAAAAACTCCCACTACCCCACTCCATTGCTAGTTCCCCTGGTCATTTCCTAGCAGTTACCACTGGCCATGCCATTGCTAGGTCCACTGGTCATTTCCTAGCCTTAACTTTCCTTGTCTGTCCTCTCCAAAAATCTCTCTTTTGTCAGTAGGCTTTTGGAACATCACAGTTTTCTGGCCTTCCCACCTTTTTGGCCTTTCTTTCTCCATCTCTTTTCTTGGATCCTTTTTTCCCCTACCTCTAACACATTGGCAAGAACTCTCTAGGTAATCTCATCTAGTCTCATAGCTTTAAGCATTTATTGACTAATAATTTCTAAATTTCTATCTTGGCTCAGACCTTTCCTTCAACTCCAGATTGATCCAGCTGTTTACATGAATGTTTAAAAGGAATTGTAGACTTAGTATGGTCAGAACTCAGCCATGGGGTGGCAGTATCATTTCAGACAGGCTCCTGCTGTGTCACGATCCTCTTGCCAGTTCCCCAGGTAGCTGGGACCACACACATGTGCCACTGTGCCAGGCTTTTAGTGTGGGATGGGAATCAAACCCTGCTTCCCATCTGGCCTCACTATTCACTGTGTGCCTAAAACTCAGCTCTAGATACTTGCTGACCATTCTCCTTACACTAGTATTTCTTACTGAATGGCAACTCTAGTCTAGTTTCACAGACTGAAAGCCTGGGTGCTACTCTTCGACTCCACTTCTCTGCCTTCACATCTGGTTGGTCAGTAAGTCCTGAGGCTTCTGTCTTCCATCATTCAAGTTGCCATCATCTTTCTTGTTTTAACTGCTCTCTCTGCTGCTTTCCTAGCCCTGGCCACCCACTAAACTGCACATCCACACCTCAGCTAGAGTGATCCTTTTAAGTCATAGACCAGATCATGCCACTACTGTACTTCAGATCCTTCAGTGCTTTTCTGTTTCATTCAGAGCAAAAGCCCCAAGTTCTTACTTAGAACTTCAAAGATTGTGCCTTTAAAGATGGTGAGAATTTTTAAATTTAAAAAATTTTATCAACATGAGGGCAGTTTGCATGGCCACCTTGTATAACTTTGAAAGGTAATTTTCTGTCTCTGTTCCCTGAAAAACAACGACTTAACGTCACAGATATGCTACTTTGGAATTGTCTCTAAATGTCCATTTGCTGTCATGTGCAGCTGGAAGTGAGAATTTCAAATGGAAAAGAGTGAAAAAATGATACAATTTTGAATTAGGTATTATTAAAAAGAATATTACTTTCTCAGTGAATTAGGGTATATTAGTAATGTGGGAATTGTGGTGATCATTTTATTGATCATAAATAAGTTGTGTCATGCAAACAGTCTTCAACTTAAAATGGTTCATCTTGGAATTTTTTTGATTTTATAATGACAGAACTCATGCCTTCAGTAAAGACTATACTTTGAGAATCCGCATAACCATTCTGTTTACTTTCAGTATGATACTAATAAAATTATATGAGGCAAGGCCAGTAGGTAATGTAGTGGTTAAAGCTCTGGACTCCTACATGCTCAACCGTGGTTTGAGTCCTGCATCCAGCCACTTGAGACTCAACACTGGATGTGTGCCCAAAATCCCAAGAGGAAAATAAAGGAGAAGGGATTATGGTATGGCCATCCCCTTGGCAGTGTGATTTCTCTCTTTGCCTCTCACGTGTAAAAATCTTTCCCTCTCATTGTTTCTGTCTCTCCAGTAAACACACACTTTATGGGAAAACCCTAAAAAGAAAAACAAAAAGTTAAATGAGGCAATCAACTCCTTATAAAATAGACTGTAGGACAGATGATTTTGCCCAGCTTCAGGCTAATGTGAGGCAGGCTGGCTAAGCTATGATGTTTATTAGGTCAGGTGTAGTAAATTCACTTTTGACCTACGGTATTTCCAAGTTAATCTACCGTGGGCATATCAGGATAGAACCCTGATGACAAATATCTGGTACTTTAGTATAAAGTAAAATGTCAGAATTAATAAGGTCAGTAGATAGTAATTGTTTGAGAGTTAACTAATGCGTACAGGGTTGCTATTTACCCAAATAATCAATAGCATATAATTTCTTTTTTGGTATCTGACTAAAATATGTCTTACAGGTAGCATTGTGTTGAATTAAGTCATTATTTTGTTTTTAGTTACACTTTAGTCATTTTTATTAAGTAGGGAAACTTTTTAAAAAACACATTTTGAGCAGAAGTCTTAGTAGGAAACTGCTTGCTAAGATCTATTTTGATCCCCTCCCACAGCTTCCAGAAATGTTGCATGGTGATGGTGACCATGAAGAGCATGGCTTTTGTCCAGTGGGGCAGTTCATTCTTCAGAATTTAGGATTGCTGTTTGGATTTGCCATCATGCTGGTGATCGCCCTCTACGAAGACAAAATTGTGTTCGACATCCAGTTTTGACCATTCCCAGTAATCACTGTTGATTACGATTACGAGAATGTTACCATGCAGCTTTGCATCTGTGTCCTTGTACTGTATGCACATTGCTCAAAGAAAAGTCCGTGGCTTGCACTACTTACAAGTCCCATAGATTTGAGCCTAACCGTAAAGACTGGTGCTCAGTACTGTTTTCTGTGCATGAAGAGGGTCTTTCAAAAATACAAAGCTTATGATAAAGAGAGGAGAAAATGGGACTCCATGAACCAATGTTGATATAGGTTTGATTAAGACATTTTAAAAAATAATCATATAAAACACTACTTTCCTTATTAGTAGAAACTTCTGTGGCTATGCAGAAATAGAAACTGAACCAAAAATCATTTAAACTTTTAAAATATTTTAAATGGACTGTGGGCAGACATTTTTTGTGTGTGCTAAGAATGAATTGTAGTGCCCTTTAATTCAGCTATATATATATACATATGGTAATAGGGATCAACTCGACACGGCATTGAAACCACATAAAGTAGACTGTAGGAACTAGAGGAAGGCTGGGGCTGCATTAGAGTATGAATTTAGCATTGGGAAAAACCCTTATTCTTGAACCTAGAGTTACTATTTTTGTATATATTTGCATAGTGTTTAAACTTGCAGCCTAAACTACTGAAATTTGTGATTGTTATATTTGTGTGAGCTTCAGTTTAATGAAAGATTCATAACAGTTCTTTGTATTATTACAATACTTGGTCTTTGGGGAGGTTTTCCCTTTTTTTTTTTTTAACTTTTGGTTTTGGGTTTCTGGGGGTGGAGTTCAAGGGGATCAGAGCATGTAGTCAAATGTTTTCCTTAAAATTATAACCCTCTGAAAATATCAAAGAAATGAACAAATATGGTAAAAAAAAATACTCTATTTTCCTGCTTTAATAGTACTAGTTAATTGGGATATTTAAGTTCTAAATGTTCACATTGCTTTACCAGTTTGGCATCGGAACCAAGAGCACATGCTGTGAGTGGCAGTATTGCGTTGGAAGGCAGAAAGTCTAAGTTTACCATGTCTGTAATCTATATATGAAGTGTCACTTAAAACAGTTATTAGGATCAACTCCATTGATACCATGGTTATCATGGTAGCAAGTGACTTATGTTTCAGTACCTAAGCCGAAATCACTTGATCATTTTGTGCCAAGATATGCTGTTGGTGCCTCATAGGGATTAGTCTCCCTTTTTAGGCATCCTGTTCACCTACCGTAATTGTGAATGATTTGTGAGACGTGCAAGCCATGTAGATCCTGAATTTTGACTTACTAATTTATAGGACTAGTCATACGCATGTAGCTTTCTGTTTACATCTTGTGAACATGGTCCTCATTTACGCCAGGTAAACTGCATTGGAACTCTGTGCAGCTATCTTTGTTTTCATCTGCTTGGCAACCAGTGTAGCTGCTTTCAGAATCTTATTGTTCAAATATCTAAGAGCCAAACTCTTCCATTCCACTTAAAATGCTTCATTTAGTCTTCTTTTCCCTTCTTTCTTTCCTCTTGCTCTATGAACTTTAAAAACAAAACATCGAGGAGCTGCACATTCATCCAGGTATATGTGGATGATGGCCAGTGTTGTTCTTCATACTGTAAGCAAGGGAGCTTAGGTCTTGTTATTTCTTTAATGCTTGAATTTGAACAGTTATTTCTGGCTTTCTCCATGGCCTTCTTATAATAAGTAGGAGTTTCATACATAGATTCTTTTGCATCGGACACTGACTTAGGACAGTCCTCATCTCATTGCTTGGCCCTTCAAGCAACCTAGCTAAAAGGTGCTGATGTTTTATTTAGTACTGCCAACTTCAAGTGATTCAAATATCTTGCTTTCTGATTCAAGATATATTAATAGTTCGTTTTTGGGTTTTAATACCCAAGGATGATTGTGCATTCCAGCATTAAGTCTGCTTCATTAAAAAACTTTTGTAAAAGCAACAGCTGGAATATACTCCCAATCTTAACATGCCTGAAATAAAGCAAATGAGTCATGCTGAAATATTTAAAGTTTTATATTCTCTCAAGAATGGTATTATCTTTTATCAGCTAGATTTTTTTTTTAACCTTTTAAGAGGGCTGTAATAGTTGCTGCTAGTATTTTGTTAGGGTTCCACCAGTATTTAGTTTTCACATCATCCTAATGTATAGTTTTAAGTCTTACTAGACAATCTGAATTCCACTACATTTCTGTTTGGCTCCAACATTCCATTTAACTTGACCAGTCTGATTTAACATGTGTTTGTTGGAGATCATTACTGTTACTTGTACAATGCTGTCACTGTGTGACATCCATATGAATTTTGATGTATATCACATTGCATTCAATCAGCTGTGATTATGCTTAGAAATACTATAGTAACTAGAAGCAGTGTGAATTTTTTCCATTAACAGTAAGTCAGTGGCTTAAATGTGATTATGGTCCTGCAAGGTGATACTTGCTAAAATATCTAAACTTTTTTTTGTTGTAACTGAATCATTTTTTAAAATTTATAAAGCTGGAAATGATCAAATGCTGGTTTTTTTTTTTTTTTCATTGTCAACAGTGGTGTGTCATTTTATGTATGTTCCTGATGCTTATGGAACTCTCCCAAAATAAAGTTATACAAAAAGAGCAAATATGCCAATGTGTTTTCTTTAGTCTAACCTTTATTTCAGAACATTTCTTTACACTGCAGTAGTGAAACATTTAAGTAATTAATAGGCTGCATTTGTATGTAAGTAAATTCATAATTAAGTATAACTTTAGTCCAACTTAAACCAAAAAGAAAATGTTTAAACAGTAAAATAGATTTTCTACTCAACCCTCTAACAAGAAATAGAAAGGAAATGGCGTCTTCTGGTTATGAATTAAGTTGACATAGCAGTGCCACACCCCGTCCAATCCAGTGCTCCTTGGGTTGGTCAGAGGGAAGGGTCATGGCAATCACAAAGTTTGTGGAATGGCCGGTAGTAGACAGCGTTCCTCTCCGCTCACTCGTCTTATACAGTGGAGCAACGTAACTTGGTCGCTTGGGTATGTCTGCCCTCTTACAGGGCTTTAGCCACATCTGGAAAAAGTACATGACAGCTCTTGAAGTCAAAGCTGTTAAACTCCACATATATTTTATACTTACGTATATTTGAGCCTATGATGGTAGGCCGAGTTACGTTAGTTATGTCTATGGATTGTGACCCAAGTAGATTGTATCTTTGTCAGTAGTACTTTGCTCAGAAGGTTTTATTTAGAGTTCAGAACTAACTGTAGAACCAGTTTAGGGGATCAATGAGGGAAAATGCTTTTTACCTATTATTATAGTCTTAAAGCATATTGCTCAACTATTCAACACACCACCACATTTACCTGGGGTGACTTAGTGCTTACAACAACAAATAAGACCTACTTTCAAAAGAGAACAGCTACCATCAATACTCAGAGTCCCATGCGTTACTTTTTTACTTATTTATTTTTGGAAAGGTTTTTGATATAGGGCACGTGCACTCACCAGAAAGAGAGAGACAGAGAGACAAAAAACAAGAAATCATCCTCCAGGGGGGATGGCCACGCTGCAATCCTTTCTCCTCCATTCTCCTCTCGGAATCTTGGGCACGCATGCACATGTGCCTAGCGTGAGTTTAAGTCAACGGGTCTGGGACTCGAACTGCGGTCGACTACATGGGAGTCCAGCGACATAAGCCACTATGCCAACTGTTGGACCCCATGCTTTATTATCTGAAAGTCAAAATCTCAAAAATTCTGAAGTTTTTTTTTTGTTGTTGTTTTGTTTTGTTTTGTTTTTATCAACAGCTATGCAACTATTGGGTTGTTGGGAAAGTCGTGGCATATTTTTTCTGTGCAAAAAATGCATCATGACTTGTATTATGACTTTTCTGACAACCCAGTAGATCAGCTTCCCATTTGGGGAAAATATAAAAGGGGGTATGCATAGTACTATTTAAAATATACTTTCCTTCGTAGCTAAAACATGTCCACATTTTTATTCAGTAGCCAAGTTCCTACATGTTAAGCATCTGTAGGCTGTGAAGATTCCATGAATTCTTTATGGGATTCTGGGAGCAACTCAAAGACTGGTTAAGAAAAAATAAATCAGAGCACTCACAACAGGTACGATGAGAGGCCAGCTGACAGCCAATGTAAGAAAACTCTCATACATATCAACATGCTGTGGGTCAAATTGAAAGTCACATCCAACAATGTTCAATCTTGCTGAATCTTATCAATTTTAATGAGATTTTGAGGCAAGTCAATCTTTAAATATGAGTATAAAACAAACTGATCATAAAGGTGTTTTAATCAAATTCATTTTTCTAGTTGGAGTAACAATCCTTGAGGTAGTATAACTTGACAACCCCCCTCCTCCCATTGTTCTAAGCCCTCTTAGGTTTTAGATTCTTCAGGTCAAAGCATAAATTGTAAGAGCTAATAATGATGCAGGTTTCTCTGTTTCTCATATAATGATGTAGTCCAAATTTTCATTAGGGGATTCACAAAACACTTTTGCAGATATTAGTCACCAAAAAAGATTCAAAACATTCAACTTGGTCTGTTTCATTTCACCCCAAGAGTGGATTTTTCTTAATGAGAATTTGTATTTCATACTGATTTCATATTCAGGAGAGATTCCTATTTGTAAATTAATTTCTTCTACTCAATGCAAGCTACTTGTGTTTCTTTGTACAGGGGGGGAAATCCTAATCAACTCTTGAAGTTGCCAACAGATCTGTCCTTGTGACTTTCCATTTGGCCCACTGTATCTGAGTACGTGTGGCAGGTTTCTTGCAGTTGCCTGTCAGTGGCCTCTCACTGTACCTGTTAAAACTGATCTAACAGACTTGTTACTTCTTTGAGCTGCTCCCACAATCCCACAAAGGATTCATGTTAAATCCCACAGCCTATGTCTTATCACACCAACCCAGACTTAACATTCAAATTGTGTGAAAATCTCTCTAGCCATTTTCTCATTGCAGGAACAGATGGAAACAATTACATTTATATAGCTTAATTTGCCCATGCCTAGGATAGATATCTAGAAAACAGTTTTTTTTTTCATGCAGATGCTTTTCATATATAACCTTTTAATCTGAAAGTTTCATATTTTTTGGTTAAAATATATGTAAAAAATACCTATAACAGGCCAGCAGATGGTGTAGCAGTTACGTTGATGGACTCCCATATGGCCAACTATAGTTTGAGTCCCAGACCTGTTGACTTGAAAAAGGCTTAGGGGACCAGCAGTAAATGTAATGGCTATGTCGCTGGACTCCCATGTAGTCAAGCGTGGTTGGAGTCTCGGACCCGATGGCTTAAACTCATGCTGGGCACGTGTGCGTGCATGCCCAGGATCTCGAGAGGAGAATGGAGAAGGGATTGCGGCATGGCCATCCCCTCTATGGAGTGATTTCTCATTTTCTGTCTCTTTCTGGCGAGGGCATACGCCCTATAGCAAAAACCTCTTAAAAAAAAATCAGGCTTGGGCACAAGTGCATGTGTGCCCAAGATCCTGGGAGGAGAATGGAGGAGAAAGCACTGCAGTGTGGCCATCTTCCCTGGGAGCTGATTTCTCACTTTCCCTCTCATTGTGTGTGTGTCTCTCTCTCAGGTGAATGGTGTCCCCTCAAGGCAAAAACAAACAAACAAACAAATAAACAAAAACTAAAAAATACATATAAGAGGACTTCAAAAAGTCCATGAAAAAGGAAATCATAGTTTTTTCATCACATGCATTTCCTTTGAACTTTTTGAAGACTCCCTTGTATAATAAACTGTGTTTACATATATAGAGTTGGTCCTCACTATTCATGGAATCCATATTTGCAAACTTGCCTGCTCAACAAAATTTATTTCTAATCCTAAAATCGACACTGGCAGCACATTCAAGGTCATTGGCAAACATGCACAGAGCAAAAGAGACAGGTGTCTGCAGACTGCTTTTGTTCTCAGCCAAGGTTGCACCAGGTAAAGCTCTGCTTTCTTGTTTCAGCTCATACTACACACAAATGTACACTTTATGGTCTTTTTGATGCCCAGTTTTTCACCTTTTTATGTGTTTTGCTAGTGATTTCACTGTTTCAAATGACCAAGTGCTCTCTAGGGTTCCTAATTGCAAGAAGTCTGTGTTGTGCTTTGCGGTGGAAATGCTGTGAGGTTCATTCAGACATAAGGTTACTGTATTGCTGACCATGAGTAAATATTAATAAGTCATTGTATGCCTGGAGTCTTCAGAAAGTTTGTGAAAAGTATGTGTTATGTAAACTATTCATAGATTTCAAAAAAATTTTTTAATATTAATGAGGGACCAGCAGTTGGCGTAATGGCTATGTCACTGGACTCCCAAGTAGTCTACTGCAGTTCAAGTCCCAGACCCGGTGGTTTAAACTCACATCGGGCACGTATGTATGCATGTCCAAGGTCCCCAAAAAGAGACTGGAGAAGAAGAGATTGTGGTATGGCCATCCCCCCAGAGGGTGATTTCTCGCTTTCTGTCTCTCTGTTTCACTCTGTCTTTCTAGCGAGCGCATGCGCCCTTATAGCAAAAACCTCTCAAAAAAAAAAAAAAAAGATTAATGAAACAGTTCTCATTATAATTAAAAGTAATTGGCATATATAGAAGTAAGTATATATGGATATGTTTCAGTAAACATTTCTTACATCATAACTGCCCATTCATTCCATTTTAAAGAATTTCAGAATCTGTTCCCCTTTGCCTTGTGAAACATTTCAAAATCTCAGTATTCTTGTCCTTAAGAGTGGAAACTTTCATCTTCGTTTCTTGAAGTACTTTAAAACTGGCAGAAATATCTATTTATTCATACTCTATTTTGTAAGTATCTAAAATTCTGATAACTTCTTGTCTGTTTCACCTCCCTTGAGCCTAACATGCTAGCAAAATAGACTTTAATGGAACTCATTGTTTCAACTCCCAGGTAATGGAGATTTCAAGGTTTTTTTGCACCAAAAGAAACTTGTACTTTAATTCCATTTCTGCATGAACTTTTTGGAGTGCTATCTTACTACATAGGGTGCCTTCAATCAAACAAACAAAACAAGGTTATAGGGACCAGCCTGAGGCCTGGCGATTAAAGCAACTGAATCCCACATGGCCAACCCTGTGGCTCCTCAGACCCAGTAGCTTGAATAACATGCTGGGTGTGTGTGTGTGTGTGTGTGTGTGTGTGACCAAAAGGGATTGCGGTGTGACCATGCTCCATGGGGTAGGAGGGCCCTTTCTTTTTCTCTCTCTCTGGTTAGTGCACATACCCTCTAGCAACTTTA